AGGTCATGTTGTGATGGTGTCCCGATCATGTTTTGATTGTGTCCCAGTCATGTTGTGATGGTGTCCCGGTCGTGTTTTGATGGTGTCCCGGTCATGTTTTGATGGTGTCCCGGTCATGTTGTGATGGTGTCCCGGTCATGTTTTGATGGTGTCCCGGTCATGTGATGGTGTCCCGGTCATGTTGTGATGGTGTCCCGGTCGTGTTGTGACAGTGTCCCGGTCATGTTGTGATGGTGTCCCGATCATGTGATGGTGGCGCGGTCATGTTGTGATGGTGTCCCGATCATGTTTTGATGTGTCCCAGTCATGTTGTGATGGTGTCCTGGTCATGTTTTGGCGGTGTGCCGGTCATGTTTTGATTGTGTCCGGGTCATGTGATGGTGTCCCGGTCATGTTGTGATGGTGTCCTGGTCATCTTGTGATGGTTTCCCCGTCATGTTTTGTTGGTGTCCCGGTCACCTTGTGATGGTGTCCCGGTCATGTTGGGATTGTGTCCCAGTCATGTTGTGACGGTGTCCCAGTCATGTTGTGATGGTGTCCCCGTCATGTCATGCTGGTATCCCGGTCACCTTGTGATGGTGTCCCGGTTGTGTTGTGATGGTGTCCCAGTCATGTTGTGACGGTGTCTCGGTCATGTTCTGATGGTGCCCTGGTTCCGGTTATGTGATGATGGTGTCCAAGGAAGAGATGGTCGATGTGTTGAAAACAGCAGCTGTTTCCAGATTTTTCTTGTTGTCCCGGTTTGTATTGCTATTGGGGTCTCCAGCTGGGCTAATTTTGGGGCGAAAACTCGCATTCCTCAAGGGGTGGCTGTGTTCTTGACACAAAATATGCACAGTCAAGGTAATTCTCTTTTTTTACGGGTATCGCTCATTCTGCACACAGCACTGTGCGGGTTGTTTCGTGTTCTAATTGCCAAATTGGCTCTTCTGAGCATTCATTATTGGTGTTCTGAAGCACTCGGTCGTTTTTGGACTTTGCTTTTTTGGCGAAAGGACCAGCGAGCTCCACGCTTTGGGTCGCCATGGCCCTGCAAAAAAGAGGCCATGTGAACCTGTGGTGTGACAGAATTGTGTCGCGCTTTTTGGTCATTTACTCTCAATTATGCGGCTCTAGCTAAGGATACATGCTCCCTTGCTTGGCATAAGTTAGCATGTATTTTTGACCATAAATTGGTGGACCATTGCAAGTGAGCAATGTGTCAGCACAAGCATGCAAAACATCAATAAATTGACAAAACGCCTATGGAATGAGGAACAACACCTTTATTACTTATTCTTCTTGATTTAGATATTAGATATCTTCTCAAAAAGACTCAGAGAGACTGCATTGCTAGGTGAGTCCCAGACAATGACTTGAGCGCGCCGGCTTTGCGGTCGGTGCCTGAGAAAACCATCCATCGGTTTTCTGCAGGTTGGCCTGGGGTGAACGTTCAAGAGATGCTGTGCTTGGCTTGGTTGACCTTCTGGGGATTTCAAGGGGTTCCTTAGTTGTTTTGCTTGAACTTTGGACCTTATAGCGTCTCTCTTAGATGTGTGATTTCTTCGGCTGTTCCTGTTGAGCGCTGGAATGAAACCTGCCTCGAAGCGCAGATCTGGGCCAGTTGCGTTGAGACCCCAAATTAGAAGATTTATTGTCAAGAAGTTGGATCTAAACCAAAAATCGCATTAATGGTGATTCTCGCTTTACTTGATCTAAATATTTATTTCTTTTAATGGGAAAGCTTTCGGTTGTCATGCTGTTGCCATTCCATTAGATACCATGGTTGCGCGGTGTGCCCAGTCACGTCGACATTGAGGCCAAAAAGAAGAAGTCAAAGTCAAAAGGCCCCTCTTGCAAAAGCACTTTTGTGGGAAAGGTAAACGAAAATTCAAAAGTGTTTCAGCTTTTGGTGGCAGCATCCTTCTTTCGGCTTTAGCAGTGGCTTTCTTGTGGCAAAGACTTGCAAGGATGACGGTTCAGTTGAAATGTTTCGGTTGACGCGTGGCGAGTAATGACAACAGAAAGAATAAACAAAACAAAGAAAGAGCATAAGAAGAACGTTGTTGAAGTTCTTACTATTGAAGCTGTGGGTGGACTCTTTCGCAGGATTGCTTTTTGGAGCAAGAACGAGCTGATGTTTTAAATGAAACCTATTCGTAGTAGCTCGCTTTAATTTCAACTTCCAAGCAAGAAAGCCTTAGATCCGGATTTTGCGCCACAGGATCGATCGTGGGAGAGTGGAACATTGCAGATGCCAAGCTACGCTAAAAGAGGAATCTGCTCCCGCTGTGCCTCTGATTGAAAGTTGAATGTAGCAAAGTCTCAGAAGACGACAGAACATTGAAGGACCCGTGGGTGCCTGCTTCAAGCTCTTTGCGAGCATGATTCCTTGTTTTGTGTTCTGATGGCTTAAACACACAATGGTATGCAAGACGGACTCGAGAATTGATGTGCTTTGTCCACAATTTCATTGCATTCCTTTATACAGATTATGTTGTACTTTGATGCAGATTATCCACAGGAGCATATGCTAGAACTTTGCAAGGCTTCAGCGGAAGCACCCAAGGAGGAGTCAGTGCCCGCTGCAGCCGCGGAGGCAGGAACCAGAAAAGTGGAAGACATGTGGCAGAAAAGAAAAGCAGAGCTTTTGGCATTCTGGTACCCCGTTCTTTTTGGCCGAAAGGGGCAGAGATATTGAGATAGCGCCCTCAGAACAATTGAGACATCCTAGCACCTTCCCCATATCAAGCGGGCTCTTCAATCCCACATATGGGTCGATTCGTAACAAGATCGCAGCTAAAAGCCACACCTCAATTTGGAATCACTCAATGAACAAAGTCGTGACTGAACTTGTGGGCATGCCATGCCAATTGCTGGGAGATGGCCAAATCCATTGTGGTGGCCAAAACCTAATCCTCAAAAGAAAACATGTTTTGTCCTCGAAGTTCCAAGGAGTTGTTGCGTCAGATTCCTGTTCAGACGAGTGTCTTGTAATTACAGATACAAGATATCATTGGATGTATGTGCCCTAGTAGCTTCTTGTTACTACTAGTAAGGCACCTGTTACTAGTAGCGATGCACTTGTTACTAGTAGCTTCCTCCCCCCCATATATCATCCCACATATCTTTGGATGTATGTGCCCTCGCTCACCAGGACCTTCGTTCTGGTAACACCATCATTTGTGACCGCTACCGCCTTCTCTGGATTAGCGTATTCTGCGGCAAAAAGCCAGTGATTGTTTGGAAAGCGTTGGGCGCTGAGATCCAACCTATCCTGCCGACCATTGACCCTGTCACCTACACATGGTGGGAAGTTTCGCGTTTGGACCCTTTTAATTCTGGTCCAACTGCACAAGTTTCACCCGAGTTTGACAAAAGTTCTTTTGAGTGCATCCACGGTTTACAGAATTTACAGAATACCTGCATTCACATTGCCACAATCTCTTTTTCCCGAGAGCGTCTGCGAAGGGTTCTTCGTAAAAAACACCTGCAGAACTACGTCTCATCTACATCTTCACATCTTCACCTCTGCACATCCACATTCTCACCTATATCTCTGCTCATCTTCACATCTTCATCTTCACACATCTACATGTCTGCTCATGTTCACATCTGTACATCTACATCTCTGCTCATCTTCACATCCTCACATCTAGATGTCTGCTCATCTTCAAACCCTCACGTCTACATCTGACATCTTTACCTCTCATCTACATCTCACAGCTTCACCTCTCGCTCTTCTTAACTTTCTCTCTTAAGGCCCGGGGCAGTGCCGCCGGACTGCCACGAAACGCAACCCTGTGCGGAGAGCGGGCGTGTCGAGTACGCGAAATGCAGGCGAGAGTGCGATGAGTCCAGCAACAAATGAGGCAATAATGATGGCAGCACGGTTGTCATTGTGAAGTTCAACATCGACTCGAAGCATAATCAGCTCGACCAAGGCACGAACCGAACGACCAACCTGCAATCCCTCCACCAATCCCGTCAATTCGGATTCGGCAGTAGACAAGGACATCAGAGTCTGCTTATGACTCTCCCACTGAATAGGCACGCCCGCCAATAGGACAACAATGCCCGTGACACTGTGCCCGTTGGAGCAAACGAGGCATCCACAAAGACTTCAAGCGCCCCAGAATGTCGTCGAGTCTTCCTCCAAAGTTCCGGAGCCGTGTCAACTGGCACCAACGGTATGTATAGTGCACGCCATAGCCAACGGTATGCTTGATATAGGTTAGTACTGCTCGACAATCTAAAGTCCACTTCGGCTTCTTCACAGTGTTCTGGAACAGTTTCATCACAGCCCACGCAATGTCAGGCCTGGTCTTTCCAGAAAGCCATAGGAGTTCTCCGGTCAACTTCTGAGCTTCTCTCACCTGTGGGAGCGAGACCAACTCTTCTGTTTCAGGCTCTTCAGGAACCTTCACGAAGTTCGCCATCATAATGTTTGGATACCTCTCCAGGAGCTCTCTAGTGATAGCTTCCCTGGTGGAGAAAGTACGAACCATCCTCCAAACGTCCAACGTTGTATCTCTATCCCAAGGAATCTCATAGCTGCACCATTCACCTCAGCAACCTCCGGAGTCGAAGTAGTCCACGAATCCTGAATCACACGAGCAGCTTGATCAAGACAATCCTTGATCAACCCACAGGATATCATCCACATACACAAGCATATAGCCATACACCTTGGTCCACACACGTTCACTCTTCTCATCCACAGTGAACTCCTGAATGGCCCATAGGTTCGGATCATCCAGTGGGTGGAACCCAAAGAGTACCTTCTCCTTCTCTGAGCTCTCACTGTCCGACCTTTGAAAGCAACCCATCATGTTTTTCAACTCACCATCCCTGAAAGTGCTCCAGTCCTGAGGGAGACGTAGTCAACCCATACATCGCAGCAGTGACCAACCAGTGCTCCCCGGGCTTCACAAGCTGAGCCTCCACCTGCGCGAGCCTCCATATGGTTTCCGCAACATACAACTCGGGCACGTCTCCGTCCATCTCCAGCTTTTCTAGTGAACACTCCCATCCCCGGGATCACTTCCACCTTCTCTCCTCGGCTCTCGGCCTCCTCTATAATTTCATTGGGTCTCTCCTCTGAAATCCTGTGGATAGCATGATTCCCATCAAAGTTATCCATCTCAACCTTCAATGGTGGAATCCAAAGTGGTAGATCACGACGCACTTCTTGAAGTTCACAGTTCGGGTCTGCAAAAATAGCTCTTCATCTTCTTCTGCCATCTGAGCAGCCTTCGCCTCCAGTCGCTTGCATGATATACCGGCAAAACGCACCATCTCTTCAAGGCATTCATTCTCCCTATCTAGGTCATAGATCAACGACACTTCACATTCGTCTGGACCAGGACACTTCTCCCAACGGCTGAACTCTTCATTGGCCCAGTCTTGACCGTTGAGCAATCTCTTCTGAAGTACTTCAACTGACACTTTGGACAATGCCGTTTTCTCCCCCAATCTCCGTTTGGGCACGACCGCTTTTTGTCTCTGATATCAGCCGGCTCACTTCTTTCCTCAACTAGCGGCAAATCATCAAGCGCAGGAGGATCCTCCGCTTGGACGATGTCGGTGGTTCGAAAAAAGTTTCCTCTCGCGACTTCCACCACATGGCCACCACTAGTCAAGCTCATGTCAGGATCAGCACCACGGATAATTCCCGGCTGCTTCCTCAGTCTCCAATGACCTTGGAAATCATCCCAGCCTTTCGTGGCCACCATGACTTTCCTGCCCCATGGAAGAAAAGAGGTGGAGTCTCATAGCCCAACACGTTCAGCTGTTGACGACCCCGTCGTTCGCCGATGTGCTTCGCCATGAGAGGCCAATACTCTTGTCCATCACCTGAGGCCTTGAGAAGGACGTTGATACTGCGACGAATCTCACCAAGCTCCGCTTCTTCCGCTACTTTTCCAGGCACTTCCAGCCGTGAAAGTCCTGTACATGCCTCTCTCCTCACACCACCGCACTATCGCTGTGGATTCTGCGGACCTCCATTCCCAAATAGTTCAATCTGGCTAACATCGTTGCCATCCCGGCCTTCAAGGGGTTTCCACAATGGTGTAGTTCTTAATGAAGACATCTTCAGCTTCCACTTCTAGCTTTTTCCATACCAACTCCTCTCTTTCCTCTTCCTGAAGAATCTGCTCGACTTCTTCCTCTTTTCCGTCCTTCAACACCTCATTGATGCTGTCGGGCAAAGGATCACAACTGTCTGCAGTCTTCCTCACTGGAATCGAGTAGACACCTACAAGGAAATACTTGGACTTCTTCCTTCTGAAATCCACGCCAGGCTTCACAGGACCACAAACATCTAGACTCAACGTCATAGCATCTGGATGTGGGACTTTCCGATGCTGCCTATTCTTTCCAGCACCAGCCAGGCAAGTCGCGCACTCCCTTGAGAAAGGTACATGGTTGCACATCACATGGGTCTTCCACTGCTCAGCAGTCATCTTAGCCAATCCCGGTCCAAGATCTTCACCCAATTGACATACTCCCCCATCCAAGGCCAGTACAATGCCCTTGACAATCTCAATCTTACAGGGTTCAGGCCAAGCAGCCCATGAGCGACTTTGTGTAGTTCTCTCCTCAATGGGAGAACCAGTGCTCACCACCTGATCACGAGGACGCCTATCCACAACGCCTTCCAAACTCCACAGGTGCCCAATATTGGTTCCCAGCGTGGTAGGCTTGCGACGTTCATGACCAAATGCTCCACAAAAGAATGAAGGGTAATCATTGGTGTCATTCTTTTCCTTATTACTCTTGAGGATCACGCGGATGTTCCTTGAGAAATAGCTCCTTTTTCTCACGCGATGCACTCGCCAAGGTATAAAGCCAAAGCTGCCTCATCCAAACAACTGCATCTCCCCAAGCCAGTTCTCTCATACCGTCAGAAAGATCATTGAGCGCAAATCTCTTTTTGCCGTGCTCGGAGTGGTGGGGGGCCCGGCCTCCTGAAGCGCAGCTTTGATACTGTTCTACACGGAGGTCTTCCTAAGACCGCATCCACCGTGCCTTTCTCGCACAGCTCTGCCAAAAAGCTCGTCAATGAATCCAACAACAAATCCTGGTGAGAGTCAACGGATTTGTCAATACACAGAACAGCTCGACTATTGGATTCCAAGTTCCTTTTCCACCAAGACTGTTCTGGTCCCGAAAATAGGTGCAGAATCACCGAAGAACTCGTCCATATCCTCTGACGCTGCCTCCTATTCAAAGGAACCTGCTCCCCAGTCCATTTTCCGGTCGAAACAACCCTGGCAATGATCTCATCTGGGACTTCCGGCCAAAGCTTCCTCAAATCAACAAGCCACCTCCATACACTAGGAGCTAGATCACCGGACTGCCTGCTCTCAGAGCCGCTGCCCTCTGCGTCATGTCGACTTCATAACCCTCCAGCTCTTCAATCAGCTGATTGGCGGTCTTCATATCCACAGTAGGACACCCAGCTTCTAGAAGTACTTCAATTTTGGTTCCGGAGGGACTGAAGAGCTCAAATGCTTCTCCTTCCCACTTCACCCGGTAGCCCAGCCTGACAACCTTCCCCAGTGGCACGATCACCTGCGTCTCGAAATCCGTGACCAGAGCGCCATCCAACAATGCTCTACCTTTTCCATCCGACGGAACAACGGACTTGACGCTTACCATTTTCGCCGACGGCTTCAGCTACTTCAACAACTGCACCGCTTCCTTCATCAAATCATCCGAAGATGCCGAGGGCGGTGGACTCGTTGAAGCATTCGAACCAGCGTCTCCTCCTGAAGAGTTCTGGGCCTCAATGGCTTTGCCAGCTATCTCTTTCGGCTTGACCTCCTCAGTCGCCTCCTTTTTGATCCTAGGGGGGCTCCTTAACCATCAACATCTCCCATTCTTAGAGATGCCTTTCCATTCATGTGGAAAACCACACTTGTGTCCCTTCTTGCATCCTGCATCTGAAAGGAAATAACGACAGACAGGCTTTTCAAACGAAGTTCCCTTGCAATCTCCCTTGGAATTCTTAGCCACAGGTATAAAGGTGCTTGACCATGTGCCAAGAAGCATGGGTGTACTTGCAAGCTTTTGCAGATGGTGGGGATGTTTGAGCTGTCGCGAGTTCAGGGTCTTGGTATCCTAGAACTGCACGTGCCTTTGCCTTCTTCCCATATTATTGTGATGGTGCTTCCAGGTCGCCAGCGCATACCCAAAACTTGATGTTTTCTATTTGCCTCCCAATGTCGCACAGCGGGACGCCAAAAAGTTAGTAACCTTTGCGTCCTTTGCCTCGTGAAGAAAAGCGCGCGCCAAATCATGCCAACGAACTATCCATTAAGCGCCCGTCCTCCTGCTTACTTGCAGCGCAGAGTGCATAAGCTGTCAATAGTTGTCAAGAGTTGAAAGTCAGTCATCACCAGCCTGGATCGTGAAGGACAAGTTCAACCCAATCGTTAGGGTAGACGGAGTGTCTTTTTTGTTTTCATGGTGAAATCCTGCACTGCGAGGAACAACGTCGTTCTTCGTGCGGACCTCGCAGCTTGCAAGACCGACTGTCATTGGGTCTCAGCGCAGTTGATTCTGCTCCTCAGCCTTCACTTCCTTGATGACTCCGATGTGAACGGTTCACGCGAACATGAGGCTTATGGCTGCATTTCGCCCCCCCTGACAAGGCCTGCTGGCCTGTTTGGCATTGCAGGCCAAGTTAGAGAAAACAAGCCACCAGATCGCAGGTCCAACAGCTTCAGGGCTTTGCGCACAAGCCTTCCGTTGGGATTTGGTCCGTCTCCAAGATCTGTGTGGGGGCATGCTGCCTTGCATTGTTTCACGCCATGGTCCGTACGCATGAAACGCGGTTTGAGGTTGGGTGGGGCTGATACCAATTGCGTTGCTTGCGCAGAGTCAGGTTCAGCCTGGGGACACACCACAGCCAGCGCCTGAAGATGGCATGCCGCTATAGTGTCTTGATGGCCTGCTGCTGCATTTTTCAAGAATTCGGAAGGTTGATTTCGATATGTACCTCTGTGAATTTATTACATACTACGTGTGTATTTTTTATAACGCAGGTACCGGAAGTTCCCAAGACGTGCCCAAAGGCTTTGGGGAGATCAAACTTCATTGTTTGCCCATTCATCTGTCTGATCTGGTCACATGAATTATAGACAATATTTTCCATCGGGCCTATCAACTTGTCTCGTCGCTCCTTGCCTTCACTCTCTTGAGTTCTTTGCCGCGCAGCCCGATGAGGCCGGTGAGCGTGACACACTGAAGGGTGGGTTAAGGGGAACCCCCGTAATCGCAAAGGTAAAGCAGGAAACCCATAATTTGTTGCATGGTTTCGGGGCACCACCATTTTGGAAGAGACCCAAATTGACCCAAATTGCATGCCCTTGTTGCATGGCTTGTCTAGTGCGCCGGTGTTAGGCAGAGAAAAGTGCATCGCGGAGCAATTGGAAGAGATGTGGTAAGAATTGTCATCATCAACGCCATCTTTGTTACAAACCTCATCCTCATTGTTCATTCTCTGTCACCTCCTGCTGTGTTTCGGGCCACCCGGCTGCTAGTTTCTTACTGAGATTGAAGTGATTGAGCCATTTGTGTCTTTCACTTCACTTGATCTGAAAAGACACGAGAAATGTCATGCTTCAATCCCAATGTAGTTTCTGCCAAAGTGCATGTAAGCCGACTGCGGCCGCTAAGCGGCTCAAACTGGTCAAATGACTGTGTGACATGCTTCGCGGGAGTGCTGTGCTTACTGCGGGGAATCCGGCAATATGTGACGTTCAGTTCGTCAAGGACTGTGACAGGTGCTATGAGGTGCTAGGGGCATGTTAGTGGGCACGTTACAATGCATTCATTCCCTGCGCCTTGAATGGACGACAAGAGCGCGCCGCGACACAAAGGCATCAGCCAATACCAATCGCAATTTGTGGGGGTAGTTTTCGTTTTGTTGATATTTATGTTTGAGAAGGGTTTATGCGTGACAGACAACACATTCAGGTGATTTCAACGAATTTGTCAAGTTCCGAAGTGCCAAGGTGTTTGCCTGGTGCTTGGAGCCCTCACGTTCCTCCGGGTAGAGGCCGATTTCCTGAAATCCCATATTCTCAAAATTATCACACAACACCTCAGCCGATGGAGTCTGACAGAATGTGAATGAATATGATAAGGTGTTTCTTGTCAAGTGAACATCAAATGTGACAAAATGGGCAAACACATTAAGTATTGGTATAAGGTTCGGAAGGAAAACACAGATGGTCTATAGATTGCTTACAAAGAAAATAACAAAGGCACATCAACACATCGATGTCGGACATGCTCCAGTTAAGCCTTCAAAGGGCCTCCGTACCTTCTCTCAGGGCACTGCGCAGGGCGCACTCAAGCTGGATAACTACACCTTCAGCAAGGCAACTTGCAAGTCAATTGATGTCAACCGTCAACTACAAACATCCATCAACCACAATTCATTTATGACTTATGATTCAATGATGTCATGAAGGGTGGTTGATGTGTTTTGCATCGTTCATGACTCATGTCTGGTCGAAGGGAGTGTTCAGTTAGCAAGATCGACACATGTACACTTTTTACAAGGCTGAGTGAGACATGCCTTTGTTGTTTTTTATATTGTTGTGTTCCTTTCTTCTTTCAGCCCTGTTTCCTTACTCTGTATGTGTTTGTGTTTTGTTCCTTTTTTGGGGGACAAATGTTTCTATTTCCGAATGTCCAAGGTGACCAACCTCCCTGGTTGGAGCTTTCTAGTTAAGCCAGACTCTGAGGTTGACGAAGCGATCAACAGAATGTGAAGAGCATCTAACCTAGAAGGCCCAGTGAAATACCTTAGTTCTCCACCTTGGACCCTTCTCCAGACTCACACAATCGCGCCACATAGTTTTCCTTTCTTTAAGACACCACTGCCTTCAAGAATTGGTTTAGACTTTAAGGCCATTAAGGCCTAGGGTTAAATTGCCTTTGCTGATCCTTACTGCCAGACACGAAAACTTTTTTGAAGATCGGGACTCTGAACGTTTCACGTTGTTGAATTCAATACCCTGTCACTTGGCCGGAAGTAGTCGCTTTCGAGGTTTGACCAGTCCTATGCTTATGGGGAGAAAGAGGATGAATTCAAGCTCCTTTGCAAACATGTGGCAGTCTCAGATTGTAGCAATTTGTGTCTGTGATTTGTGAAGTGTGCTTTTCGGTGCCAAACTGATACTTCTTTTATTCCTGTTCCTAGTAATTAGCTTCTTGTTTCGAATAGCTCCTTGTTACTACTAGTAAGGCACTTGTTACGCACTTGTTCCTAGCTTCTTGTGCTTTGAGGCTCACCAAGTGCCGAATTTCATGATCGCCGAGGCCAGCCGCGGGAGCCGGAGCCGAGCCGTCGACACATGTTCGCTTCAAGTTTGGGTGAGCGAGCAGAAGGAAAGGTGAGGAAAAGAGGAAGGGAATGAAACAAAATAACAAACATTCTATTAGCCATGGCTTCCAACCTACTAGCGATGGCCGCCACCCTAGTAACGATGGCCTCCAAGAGGAAAGGAGCAGAAGGAATGAACAATGAAATCAGTGAACGTGAGGAAGTGGTTCTTTCGATAGTAATCTCAAGTTTCAAAACTGTTGCTTTGTCATATTTTGCCTTATCCTTGAGCCGGATGAGACTGCATTGCAACCGCGAGCAGCGCAGGGCTCACCAAGACACTTAGTCAGTGAAGAACTGTGCAAGAAGATGCATCATTAAACCAGCCCTCAGAAAAGAGAAGGGTGATGGGACATCACACAAAGCTTCTAACAGATCTAATGGCTCCTTCGACTTGGTTTGGGCGCTTCCTCGAATTCTATTGGAGGCCATTGCTAGTAGGTTGCAGGCCATCGCTCTTAGGTTGGCCATCGCTAGTAGGTTCGAGGCCATTCGCTATGTCATAGTTGTATCCTGTTTAATCACTTGTGTGCCCCTAATAGCTTCTTGTTCCTAGTAGTAAGGCCAGGAGCCCCTAGTAGCGTCCTTTGTGAATCACTTGTGTCGCACTTGTGCAGGTTCCAGTGCAGGAGTATGGTGACAAAGAGAACGACGATCTCCGCGGCCAGTGCGCCGCGCTGGACGGAACGTTTCGACAACGACGGTGAAAAACAACCGTTCCAACTACTAATATCAATGGCCTCCAACCTAATAGCTTCCTTGCTCCGTTCGTAGCGATGCCCTTTGCTCCTAGTAGCTTCTTACTCCTAGTAGTAAGGCCAGGAGCCCCTAGTCGCGTTCTTGCTCCTAATATCAATGGCTTCCACCCTAGTAGCGATGGCCTCCAACCTAATAGCAACCGTTCCAACCGTTCTACTTTGATGCAAGAGGGCGATATTGGACTTCAGAACTCCTCTAACTGTAACGAACTGTAACTCATGTTTGTCCATTTTCTTTTACACGATATTGGTTTTTCTTGTGTTACTAATAAGAGTGTAGATCTCGGTGGTCGCCGTATCATTAAAAAAACTACTTATAATTACTGTCATTCCAATAGAGGAATTTTACTCAATTTGGTCTTGCACTCCTTAGATCAAACACATTCCTGCAGTTTGAGGAGGAACGTGTTCAGAATAGTTGTATCCGCTGTCACAGAAGCGATTATTATACAAGCAGACCACTTCCAGCCTTCTTTGCTGCACATGCTAGAGTTCCTGACAGGTTTAAGCTGACCAAAGAAGACTTTCCAGCTTACTTCCTCATCAATGAGGCTGCACAAAGATGTGGATCAGGTTCTTGTTTGGACCAAAGCCACTTTTGTCTCAGCGAGGCAAGTGGCCATTGCCCCACCTTGCTGATAGAAGGGTGAAAACCGAAGAACTTCACAAGAGGTAAGCATAAGGCTTTACACATAGTCCCAAAGGAAACATGACAAATTGTCCAGTGTGAGAAGCTTTGCATCAGATTCACGAATATTCAGTTCCTGCACAGGCATATCCATCTGGAAACCGCTATTCAGGGGCAATCAAAGCCGCAACTGGACTTCAGTCGAGGTTGGGGAGTTGAAGGTCGTTGACGGGTGAATTGTGTGGAAACAACGAACTATTCATCAATAACCTACTAGCGATGGCCTCCAACCTATTTATCATCCAAGTTCAGCTTCCCTAAGAATCTAATTAGGAGCCAAATACTTAGTGCGAGCGCTTCTTCAAGGAAGCCTTAGTTGCTAGGAGCTTGCTACGATACTTAAGCAAGCAAGGGTGGCACACTGGCGTCAGGGGCGCGCCAGTTCAGTTGGACTTCCCAATTTGTGGTTTGTTCGAACATTGCTCCTAGTAGCGGTGCCAGGAGCCCCTAGTAGCGTCCTTGTTCCTAGTAGTAATGCCAGGAGCCCCTAGTAGCGTCCTTGTTCCTAGTAGCGATGCCCTTTGCTACTAGTAGCGTCCTCTGTGAACAAGAGACAATAACAGCAAAGAAGGACAGGTCTAAAGAGCAAAAAGAAGCCTTGCTAGAATCCTTGCTAAGGGACCATGCTGTAGGGCTTTGTGCTTGCAGAGCAGAGCTGTTTGCCATACTTGCTTGCAGTTGTCACGCCACGTGAATGTGTTGTTGTAGCATTTTATTGTGTAGCCAAGAAAAAGGTGTCTTAGTGCAGGTGACCACCAGGTGGACTACCCCAAGGTTCATGCGAGAATTGATTTCACCATGACCAATCCGCAAATGACTCAGGATTTGTTGGTGAATTGGCTTCGAAGGCAAGGAATGTACAAGGGCCCGCTTTGAACATGATTTGAAAGGTAATTGTGGGAGGTTTGGCCACTTTCGCAGAGAGGTTGAAGCTTGGAAGACTGCATCGAGCAACTAAATGCCCCAGCCAATTGCAGCCAGAGCTATTGGCCAATTGCAAGAGGAAATATATTTTGAACGCCCGACGCCTGACGGATGAGGTCTTTGTGGACAACGTTGTGTTTAGTCCCGAGTTCGTGCTTTGTGCTCTCGACGGCGCCCTGATGCTTGCGAACATTGCTCCTAGTAGCGATGCCCTTTGCTACTAGTAGCGTCCTTGTTCCTAGTAGCGATGCCCTTGTTACTAGTAGCGAACATTGCTCCTAGTAGTAAGGCCAGGAGCCCCTAGAAGCGTCCTTTGCTACTAGTAGCTGTCCGGAGGCAAGAGATTAAAGTTCCATCTCTTGGAACGATCAACGAGTTGGATGTTTTGGCAGCGAAGTTCATGAAGGACCTGTGACGTCCACGGCCGTTGGCAAGTAGCGGTAGATACACATAGTCACATAGCGGTCTTGTGCCGTCAAAAGATTGGAATTGTCCCGCGAACAACCAGACCTTGCAGGCCTTAGGCCGACATGGCCTCCTAGCCTTTTGTTCCTTGAAAGCTTCTTGTTCCTAGTAAGGCCAGGAGCCCCTAGTAGCGTCCTTGCTCCTAGTAGCAAGGCCAGGTGTAAGAACGTGTTTTCAAGAAATGCAAGAGCCTTTGAGCCCTGCCTTTTGTCGCAAAAGGCAAGCTGTCGCCATCGCTAGTAGGTTCGAGGCCTTTTGCTTCTGGTTGGAGGCCATTGCTAGTAACTAGCATTTTGGAGGCCACTTTGGAGGCCATGGCTAGTGGGTTGGAGGCCTTTTGCTTCAAGGTTGAAAGCCATCGTTAGTAGGTTGGAGGCCATCGCTAGAAGGTTGGAGGTCATTGCTACTAGGTTGGAGGCCATTTCTACTGGCTTGGAGGCCATCGCTACTAGGTTGGAGGCCATCGCTACTAG